TATGGTTGTGATAGACTTGTTGCGCCGACTGTCAGAATCCTCCTTTGATTTCTTGCCCGTCTCTTCACACTTGAGATTTAAGCCTTTCCTGCGACCGAGCCCATTTCCTCTCGCAAGTTAGGTAACCGGCCCAGTTCTTTAGGGCCTGATTGGCTGCAGCGGGCCCTGTAAACCAGCCCTGGCAGACCGGCCCGGCCCTGTTTGCCATTGGCCAGCGGGGAGTGGGCGGGGCGGGCTGAAGAGTTCTGGGCTGCGTCCGTCTCTGATTGGCTGTTCCTCTGGCAGCCTCCCCCTGCCCGGAGTTGTTGAGCAATATCGCTCCGGGCTCTTCTTGTGACTTCTGCTGAAAGCCCGTTCTCCGCGCTCAGACACGCGGCCGGCCCTTCTCTTGGGAAGAAGAAACGGGATCGTCCTTCCCCAGCCCAAGGCGGGAAATGTCCAGCTGCAGCAGACTCGGAGCCCCTCCTGCTATGGATTTTCCTGAAGTGCTGAAGTCTCTTCTGGAGTACTCTGTGCCCTGGACGGGATCTCTGAAAGGTAGGATGGGCGCGCCACTCCTTTTGCCCCAAAACCAGATTGGGAGAGGGAGGGGTGGCCGCACAAAAGATATTGGCTTTGGCTCTTCTTTAATTCGACCTAAGCCACGAGGATCGGGAAAGTCGAGAGGAGCGACACGTGCTGAGAGCCACACTTTTCTGGTGCTGCTACATTAGGTGTGGGTCGGGGAGGGGGCAGCCGGAGACTTCGGAGGAAGCTGTCAGATACGTGGTGGGTGTCTTGTATGGATGGTCCGGTTTGATCTCTCAGCTCAAGCACAACTACTAACGCTGCTGGAGCCATTCTACTTGGGCATCAAAAACTCCCAGGATTTCCATACCTTTTAATTCCGCGAGCTCAGCTCCGGCGGATCATGGCCACAACAACTATCTGACTTTTAGAAGCAGCCCTGTTTAGGGAAGCTTTTAATGTTTGATATTTTATCGTGTTTTTAATATTCTGTTGGGAGCCGCCCAAAGTGGCTGGGGAAGCCCCGCCACATGGGCGGGGTATAAATAATAAATTGCTACTACTACAACAAGAGCAAGTCGAAGATCCCACAGGTTTAAATCAGTGTCACGTCGTTTTATGGCGCTGCTTCTGAGGCATGTTGCTGCTTCTCCCTCCACCTCCCATATGAAATAGAGCCATCCGGGAGTAGGATGCTTTAACATGTGCTCCGATGGGCTTTGGGATCCGTTGGCTGATGCTTTCTCTTTCCCGTTATGTAGGCGTTTGTTTGGGGGTTGTTGTTTTTAAGTCGCTCGCTGTATTTCTGGCTATTGGCCAGGAACTCGTCTAAATGCTGTGGCGCCTATTTTAGATATGGTCCTGGTTACTATAACACAAGCTGGTGGTCGTTTCAGGGTCCCAAACATGTGCAAGAAGGCAGATTTTTGTGGAGCAATGTAGTGAGTTGATGCAGTGGGGAAAGCCTGCTGAAAGAAATTGCCTGCTATGTGAACTGACTGTGGCAACAGGAGAGTGATGATGGCAAAAGTTCAGTTGGAATGTTGTGCCATGAAGAAAATGGGACTAAAGGAGAATACGTGTTGTTTTTTAGGTCCCTCTAGCATCTTCCTTTTGTCATTGTCTTGTTCGTCCTCTACTTCTTCCTTTCAGAAACCTTTGCAACAAGCCACTGGTATAAAAACGGAGCCAGATGTCTGTTCTGTGACATCCGCCCCCCAGAACTATTTGATATTATGGTAAAAGATCATTGGAAACAGGAGGTCCAATTTAGCTCTGGCAAAATAATTAGAACTGCAACCAAGAGGAAAAATTATGCAGACCAGACAGTTAATCCAGAATCAAATAGTACATAATTGTTCTGATAGGGGGTTGTTTTGACAGTTTATATACCACCTAATTATAAATGTATCCAAGTGGTTTACATCAAGTTCAACAAATAACAATACAGATTAAATCAGTTAAAAACTATTAAATAAGAAATTACTTAAAATATCTATTGGAATAAAGAAAAGGCTTCGGGTTCAACAGGGAGTGGGGGATGCTTGATATTAGTTAGGAGGGAGTTCCACAAAATTGGGTCCACAATTCTGAATGCACAGCTCCTGATGGATATGAATTGTGCTTCCAAGACATTCAGTACCGAAGGACTGAAACTACCTAGCAGATTTTAGATAAACAACATGTGAAGAACAGTGGCGGGCAACGTGCAGTCTTCCAGATGTTGTGATACTACTCCAACTCCCATCAGCCCCAACCAGGATGGTTGATTGGCAGGGATGCTGGCAGCTGCAGCCCAGTAACATTTGGAGGTTACAGGTTGTCTGTCTCTGGTTTTGTTTGAACATACAAAGGAAACAGATCTTTGAGGGCGATGATTTACTTTTCACTGGATGTGGTTTATCTTGGCTACTCAGAAGCTGAATTCTTAGATTATGCTATCTTTGAAACGTTGTCAAGGGAACCTCCCTCTCCCTTAAGCAAACAACTTTCCATTTTTACTCGCATTGTCCTTTGTAACTTAAATAAAGCAAATGCACATGAACACACACAGAAAGAGAGGTTGCTACTCATTCCTCTAAAACAGGAGTGGGTAACTTTCCTCCTGCCCAATGGCCTCCTTCACCTTGGATCACCTTTCTGGGGTTCACAAGCTAGCAGTGGGTGTGGCCATCCACACACACTCACACACATTCCTGGAACATACAAGTTCACAGTATCCTCCTTCGGTTGATCCATGTGGTTCAGCTGTCACCCACTCTCCACACATCACATGATTAAGCTGATGAACAGGGAAGGACCACCCCAGTGAGGGTGCTTAGCTCTACCTGCCTCAGTGCTGCCTGTTTATTTATTTTATCTGCTGCTACCCAAATCAGTGTGATCTTGCAGGGGCAGAATTTTTGTAGAGGAGGGCTAGATCAGACCCCCAAGAAGCGGGGCTCCCAAACATGCCATATATATATATATAATAATTTATAGACCACCCTTCATCATAAGATCTCAGGGCGGATCCCAGACTTACATTGTATTCTATTTATGTTTTGCTTTACCTGCCTATTTTGTTGTTCACTGTCTTTTTAAAAAAATAACGTTTTTCATTTATTCTTTATGGTACAGAAGATACATTTTGAGAAAACGACTGTTACAACAGTAAACAACAAATAACTTGTCATGATAAAATTACAGACATTTGTCATGCTGTGTAATAAAGTTTCATTTGATTACTCTAAAAGATCACATCACATTTTCCCATGAGTGTTGGCTGGATTTCTGCCAGTTTGAACTATTTATGTATTCAATAAACATTTGCCATAAGTTATAAAGGAAACAGGGATTGTGTTTGCCCTTTGCTGCTCTGACCTGACATGTTAGTTCATCTGCCAATGCTATTGACCGTACTTTGTTATACCAATAATCAATGTTCAGTCCAGTGCCAGTTTTCCAACATCTGGCTATCTCCATACAGGCACCAGTCAATAGAAAGCAAAGAGGTCATCATTTGCTGTACACTGCATTGATATTTTAGATGATGGAGCCAGCTATACATATTTTAGTATACAGTATAAATGAGAACTGATTTTCCAATGGCCTGAATGGCTCTGTATTTTCCCCTCAGACCCAATCATCCTCTTATTTGTCTTTCTTTTAAATCAGCATTGACCTTTCCCATATCCAATATAAAATACAGTTTTCTCAGGCATTTAGTTATGGGCCAGTTATGAGTCTCACTGAATTCTCTGCTTTTTTTCTTTTACTGCCCATGGCTAGTACCAAAAAGGGACTGAGTCTGAAGTTGTTAGACTTTAAGCAAACCAAGAAGGTGCAGCCTGTAGTCTAGGGTGCAGCATTTAGTCTGCTTGGCAGTCAGAACAACTAATTCCAAAAGAACTATAAGTCAAAACGCGTCGTCCAGCAAAGCTGCAAAATCAGTTCCTATGCATTATGTTCCTAAATAATAGCTCACATAGATCCTAAATAATGTATGTGAAACTCCACTATGTGCCAAACCATGGGCCAGTAGTATGACACAATATGGATACTAGTTCAGAACATCAACCCTATGGATGTTTCTGCTATGCCAGAAGGTGACTCTTTCATTTGGTGAACTGAAGCCTGATTTAAATAAGCTGCCAGGCAAGTAAGAACGACCCTGTGAGGCGTCTCATGCACCTGGTGTCTTGCTTAAACTAGGTTGGCCTGCCTTGAGGTGCAGTGATAGCATGCCAGTGAGTGGACACCTCGCTGGAGCACACTAGTATTGCATGCATAGAGGTTGAGGGGGTGGTTAAAACGAGAGGTTGGATATGTGGAATGCCAGCTGCACAGGTAAATTCCTCTTGCTCTGGGCATAAAGGTACTATTTTTGGTTTGTGTGCATTGTGAGCCTTCTCAGTAGTTGCGCCTCCCTTATGGAACACCTTCCCATCAGATGTCAAGGGAATAAACATCTATCTGAATTTCAGAAGACACCTGAAGGCAGACGCTACAGAGAGGTTTTTAATGTTTCAGTTTTTTTGTGTTTTAATATTTTGTTGGAAATCACTCAGAGTGGCTGGGGCAACCCAGTCAGATGGGCAGTATATAAATACAAGAACAACAACAATTATTACTGACTTCTATTGGATAAATATAATATATATATTTTTACTGTTCAAAGCTTCAAGTAAAGTTTTGGATATAGATTAAGGTCTAGGCAAATTGCCTAGGGGGCAATGCTGGAGAGAAGCTTTAGTCTCGTAAGTACTGTAAAGTTTGGCTAAATTCAGTTTTATTTACATTTGGGGCAGCTTATATATGCATTTGCATGTTCTCTGTTAATAATAATATGATTTGTTTGGACCAGGCTTGCCCAAAATAAGGTCTATGATTACAGCTCCTTCAGTGTGAACTCACTTGGAATGTTTGTGCAGGGTTAATACACAGATTGGAAGCTGAACTGAGCACTGAATACTTGCTGGAGAAGCACACTTTGCTCTTGATTATAATCACACTGATACTGAGTTTAGGAAATTAAGAAAGCTAATTTTATTAAAGGGAAAACATACCTGATAGGAAATATCCTTTCTTCTGTCTAACTAAGATGGAGATACAAAGAACCATGCCTGCTCTTTGTTCTCAGCATACAAAGAGAGAGACATACAAAGATGTCTCTTCTCCCAAGGTGAAGAAGAAAATGAGGAAAGCAAGCCTGAGAGTATCAGTCTAACACCTGATGGAAGGTCAGCACAGTTAAAAGAACAGCTCTATGAAGTTTGGAGGTTCCTCTCTCTCTATTTTCTCCTATGCAGACCCACCAGTCTTCCATACAAGCTGAGTTTCATCCTAAAACTTCCCACACGACTGAACACTTTTTGTCTGTCAGCCCATTCCCATTCTCTTTGTGACAACAGCTTTGATCTCCACAGCCCCCTCAATAATGGGGTTGGGAGAATATTGATTGTCCTTTTCCTGGATTCAGAGGAACATCCTGTGCAAGTGGTACTTGTTTTTCTTCCCAAGCTGTTGCAGTTAGCCTGCCATTCAAGGATCCCTAGAAAACACGAAGACCAACAAAATACACATTAGAAGCAGGAAACGTCTAGCAGAAAACTGACTAGAAAGGAATAAGGGAGAGAAAGGTGTGCTAAGGGAGGAAAATGAGATTGCAGAAAAGCTGAATTATTTGCATTTGTTTTCATGGTGGAAGATGTAGGGCAGATCTGATCACCTGAACCAACCATAGCAGGATGAGAGTCTGAGGAACTGAAGCAAATAGTACTAACAATAAATGAAGTTCTAGGCCACATGGACAATTTAAAATTCACAAATTGCTGGGTGCAGATGGTATCCACCTGAGAGTTCTTTAAAAACTCAAATGCTGATCTTCTAACAAAAACATATACTTTGTTCCTAACATCAGCCTCCATACCTGAGGACTGAAAAGTGGGCAATGTGACACAATTTTTTGAAAAGGGAACCAAGGGGATTCTGGTAGTTACAAGATAGCTAGCTTTACATCTGTTTGGAAAAAGCTTTATTAAAGCTAAAATTACCAAGCATATGGAAGAACAGTTCTTGCTGAAGCAGAGGCGGCATGGCTTCTGCAAGGGTAAGAAGTCCTGTCTCATTAAGGAGTATGACAAAACATATAGAGATGATCCAATCAGCATTATATATTTAGACCAGTGGTTCTCAAAGGTTGTGGTGCTCCACACTGGTGTGGCAGGAGAGGATGGCAATATGGCAGGAAGATTCAAGGATAATCAGTATTTTATTCAGGGAATGATTCGTGTTCTTATGTAGCTGCATTGTTCTATACTTTCTGGATGTCCCATGATCATATTATAAACTAGTTGTGTTCTATGTTATAAATCAAGCACTGCCATGAGATGTCTCTCCCCATGTATTTCTTACACACACACAAATTGGTGGTGCGAACAAATTTTTATTCTGAAAGTGTGGCCCAGAGAAAAAAGTTTCAGAACCACTGTGCTATGGAATTCATTCGCACGAGATGTGATGACTTGGGTGACTTTAAAGGAGGATAATGGCTAGTAGCATGGATGTCTGTGTTCTTCTACCTTTGCTGAGGTGGCCGATCTGGCACCACCTTTCTCACTTCTGAAGATAAGGGAGCTCAGAAGAGCATCTGAGGAAGATCTTAATATCTGGGCAGGTTCATGCAGTCCTTCTGGTATCTCAGTGCTAAGCTGTTTAAGGGCTATAAACATAAAAGCCATGTGCTTGGCAATTGATTGTTAACTAGTTCAGTTGTTTTGAGACTGCTGGGATGTGATCCATTCAACCAGCCAATTACGAATCTTGATGTAGTATTTTGTACTAACTTAAGTTTCTAAGTATTTGGCAAAGGCAGAACCACATATAGTGCATTACAGTAGTCAAACCTGGATGCTTCCATAACATGACTATGGCTAGAAGTCATTGTGGTCTCTAAATATAAGACCAAATGTGTTGGCACTGCAGATTGTCGTCTGAGTACAACCCTGCCAAGAAAAGGCTAAAGAACACCATATAAGCTAGATGAACTGCCTACCAACAGAAACTGCACCTGAGTTTCAGTTTATTGGCCTTTATCCAGTCAACGGCTATCTCCAAATACCAGCTTACCGCTTTTGCAGCCTCACCTGATCTCTGATGAAAACGATAAACTGATCTGGGTGTCGTCTGCAGAGTGATGACGCACCTTGTCGCAAATCTCCAGATGACATGTGCCCTGGTTATGATGTTGTCCTTGTGCACTAGAATATGCTAGGTGCTGATGTTGTGTAGAAATCTTATTACCACTAATCCTATTAGTCTGAACTCCAGATTTCATGTTAAGGGATAATTCCTCTCCCAACCATTTTGTAAACAGTTGAAAACAGCAAGCCTTCAGTGGGATTTCAGTGTCACCAGTCCCAGCAATGATGATGTCCAGCTGGACCTTCCAGATAGAATGCAGAAGTGGCTGATGGTGGAACAGATCACTGGAGGAAATTGATGCAGGAGAAAATCATGGTCTAACTTTAGGGGCCATGGTTTCTTTAGTAGCAATATACCTTAGGACATGGATTCTCAAGCTTTCTACTCCCAGGGCTTACTTGAGATGGATGAAAATCACTGAGGCCCACAAACTACAACATGGTGATGCAGGAGCCAAGCAAAATCCAAAATAGTGGCAGGTGGAGGTAAAGTTTGGCATAATCAACTGGCAATTACTATTACTTTCTACTGATATCTAATCCATTTTTTGAAATTGCTAAATTCTTTGCCTTAGCTTTTTCCTTGTGGCAAGGAGTTCCATAATTCAGCTTTCCTCAAGCTAAGTAAGAACAGTAGCCATAGAGGTATTGTGACTCAGCCACTCCATATTAGGAAGAATTTGCTGATGCAGTGGCTTTAAGCGAAAAGGGTTTTTCCACACTCAACCTGTACCTTATCCCACCAGACTTCAAAATGTTCAGTGTCCTTTGCCCCTTCTCACTGATCCTTTTGCATTCACCTCTTCCTCCTCTAACAGCTCCCCTCTCTTACCACCTTCCATTCTAATCCCAGGCCAGTGAGGAGGCACTGGACAGGCTGTGGTACCAAGGGCCACATGAAAGTGGCCCTTGATTCATTGCTGGGTCCCAGCCTAGTTTGAGAAACACACCGCCCAAGGAAATTCGCCTGTCTCAAGCTGCCTCAAACTACCCTAGAAGCTTTACTAGCCATAAATATAATAAAACAGCTTTCTATGCTTGACTGTAATTAGGTAGACTGAGAGCAAGGCAATATTGTGACTCCTGTTGCAGACCAATACTATGTAAGCCATACTGTACATGAACCAAACAGTACCCATTTGTAAAAGTAGCAAAATAACATATTTTTCCGTTTATAAGGCACCCCCATGTATAAGATGCCCCCTACTTTGGAGGACTCCTATTTAAGAAAATGGGGGGAGATGTATCCGTGTACAAGATGCCCCCCCCAATTTTTGACATTTTTTTTGGGGGGGAAACCTAGTCTTATACACGGAAAAATACTGTATGTCCTTTTTTATGCCTTCATAATTATTTACATTTATGGTGGTGTCAGGGTGGTTACATGCAATCCTGCTTTCAGTATTGCCCTGCAAAAGCTTCTGGTTGGACATAATGCAATATAGTGGGCAAAAATGCGTAAACATTACATATATTAGAAAACAAACTCACTTAAAAATGCTGATCAATTTTCATGAGGACTTTTTTGTATGTAAATGTAGTGAAACAAAGTTAAGACTGGAAAAATGAGAAACAGGTTACATGCATATAAAAAGTAGAAATTTAAAACATATTTATATTTCAACAAGGATTTTCAGTTAATCTCCAGTTTGCTTCTGCCCACTGGAAGAAGAGAGGCTTGCAACTATGAAAATAAAGGTCTTCTCTTGACTTTATATACCTCTGCTTGCTTGCTTCTATTGCAAACAGCAGGTGGCTTTAGACTGTACTCTGTTCTATTGTTTCTGAAAAGTCTTCAGGAAGCGAGTAGGGACACTTATGGCTGCAATTCTATACTCACTTTGGAGTAAATTCCACTGACCTCAGTCAGACTTACTTCTGAGTAGGCACAGGCTTTCACTGTAAATTATTTTTATTTTTTTTCCCTGCCAAACAGCACTTAAACTGATTTACAGAAAGTAAATAATACAAACTAACAATACATATACTGTAATACATACACATAAAGCAAATACATATATGAAACACTAGGTACACACTAATAGCCACATAATAGTTCTGAACCCAAAAGCTTGATGAAGAAAGGTTTGCTTGAAAACCTCAGATGATTTGGCCTGTCACATCTTTTTGGCAGGAAAGTGCCATAACACTTAATGCCACTAGTGGGACCTAAATTCAAGATCTTAATTCCCAAAGGGATGGACACAAAGGAAGGCATTCCCAGCTCTAGAAATTGAGGTCCACAGACTTTTAGGCATGCTCTGAGATGAATTTTACAAGCACATTTGATGCTAGTGTGTCTTCCAAGATTCTAGTACGGTTCAGAACTTCTAGATTACCGGTATATTAATTTGTTTATTCCAACAATGGGTGAATTAAATTTTTCATTCATGATTCATTCTTATGTGAACTGAATTGTAATTATATGAATTGTTTGCGACTGTCAATATGTACCTATTATTGCTTAGTTTGGCTCTAGTGCACTCCTACCCATTGGAGGCTGGGGTCCACTGGGATCTGCAGGGCGGAAGGCAAGGAGGCCAACAGTATACAGTGGTACCTCAGGTTAAGTACTTAATTTGTTCCGGAGGTCCGTACTTAACCTGAAACTGTTCTTAACCTGAAGCACCACTTTAGCTAATGGGGCCTCCTGCTGCCGCCGTGCCGCCAGAGGCTGATTTCTGTTCTCATCCTGAAGCAAAGTTCTTAACCTGAAGCACTATTTCTGGGTTAGCGGAGTCTGTAACCTGAAGCATATGTAACCTGAAGTGTATGTAACCTGAGGTACCACTGTATAGAGCCGGGACCTTTGGCAGGCAGAAGCAGAGCCAGTAATAGGTGAAGGCAACTAATACTGGTTTCTGTCTGGAACCTCCTCCCTGCTAAATTCTACACAGGCAACACTGGGACTAAGGAGCAGAAGTCTGATAAGCACTGCCACCCCATGGTCTGGTTGTAAATGGACTAGCCTCCACTGTTCCCACCACTGGGAAGTGCATTTAAGCCAAGTGCATATAAAAGTTAAAGGTAAAGGACCCCTGAAAGTTAAGTCCAGTCGCAAATGACTCTGGGGTTGCGGCGCTCATCTCGCTTTACAGGCCGAGGGAGCTGGCGTTTGTCCGCAAACAGTTTTTCCAGGTCATGTGGCCAGCATGACTAAACCGCTTCTGGCGAAACGAGCAGTGCATGGAAATGCCATTTACATTTATTTATCTACTTGCACTTTGATGCGCTTTCGAACTGCTAGGTTGGCAGAAGCAGGGACCGAGCAACGGGAGCTCACCCTGTCGCGGGGATTCAAACCGCCCACCTTCCATTTGGCAAGCCCTAGGCTCAGTGGTTTAGACCACAGTGCCACCCGTGCATATGGCATTAGCTAAATCCAGTCTGTTGAGAAATACTCCTGTTTGATACGCTTTCCTTCCTTGAACAGGAGTTCAGAGAATTCCAGGGACAAAGAAAATTACGTAATGTGCATTGGGTGTAGACACTCTGGCCCCGTCTCTGATGTGTGCAGCGAACACTACTTGAAACACAGTGGGGAGAGAAACGACCCTTTTGCCTTTTTAAGCCATGGGGGGCATACATACCCTATTTTAAAAGGTTTTATTTAAATGGATTTCTGTATCGCTGTACTTTTACAAAATATGGCAAGCTCTTTTGCAGGTAACTGCTTCAAAAAGTGGAGAATAAGTTATTTAAATATGACAGACACTTCCCACTGACAACCTTCCTTGGAGGTTTTTAGTTGGATGGCTATCTGCCATGGATGCTTTAGCTGAGATGCTTGCATTGCACGGGGTTGGACTAGATGACCCTCGGGGTCCCTTCCAACTTTACGATTCTCTGACAATGGGTGGATGCTATTTTTAAACGAAGTTCAGAGGCGTATGGGTGTGTATGGTAGGTGAAAGAACAAACTGTGCGTGTTCCTGTTTTCCTGCAGAGGGTGTGAGGGGCTCCCTTTTGGAAGCCTCATTGTTGTTGCTGCTGTTCCTTGTCGCTTGCTGGCCTCCAATTCGGCGAGCTTTGTGACCTCTAAAGACGCCAAGCTCCTTTTTCCGGGGCTGCCCCGCTGGGCCCCCTCCGCCGTCCCGGCACCCCTTTGGTCCCCTCATCTTCCACTCGCCCTCCTTCCCACGCAGGTGAAAAGGGCTCCGCCGCCTCCCTCTGCTGGTTACCCTGGCGCGCCCCCTTCGCTTCAAGGCTCACTTAAGGTCAGAGCCGCGGGTGCGCGCCGCGCGCAAAGCAATAGGCGTCTCGGCGGCATACCCGCCAGCGCGTGGGGCGGGGCCCCCATGCTAATGAGAAACTCACCCCTCCGCTGCACGTGCCTGGCGGCCAGCCCCGCCTTCCCGGAGGCCCTAGCCAATCGCAGGGCGCAGAACGTGAGGGTGGCGACGCTGGGCTCATGAATAGTAAAAGCGCCTCGGGGCCCCCCGGAGAAGCCGCCGTCCGGAGCGGCGCACGCGCAGTCGTCGTCGTCAGTGTCGAGTGGTGGCGGGTCGGCCCCTCCCTCTCGCTTCGCGGGCGCCCCCTCAGCTGGCCTCGTTCGCTCGCCCCTCTCAGGGCCTTCACGGGGAGGGTGGGGGTGTCTCGGAAGCCGCCGCCCGCTTGGTTATAGTATGTCCAGCCGTGCCGCGCACCAGGAAGCGGCGGGGACCGCGGGAGCCGCGCGGCAGGAGCGGGGCCTGGCGGGCGCCTTCCCCTTGGTGCTGAAGAAGCTGATGGAAAATCCGCCGCGGGACACGCGCCTCGGTGAGGGCGGCGGCGGGAGCGCGGGGGGCTCCGGGCAGGGCGGCCGCTGCGGAGCGAGCCGGAGGGTTGGAGGGGAACGGCGCGCGCAGAGTCGCATCCATTTTGCGGCGCTCTGGCGCCCCGGTTTGTCCTTCGCCTGCCATGATCCGGGCGGCTTGTTTACGCGCCTGAGATGAGCAGCACCAGCCCCTCCTGCACGCTTACGAGGGAGCAAGCCTTGCCGTGCAAACGTGCCTCGGGTGGCACCGCAAGGGGTCGTGGCGGAGGAGGCAAAACAACGGCTCCTCCCGCAGCGTTAAGGGGCCGATTTGATCTCCCGTTTCCCCATAACCACAGTGGCAGCGTGGCTGCCAAAACTACACACGGAAAGGCCAGGCGCTCTCTTCGCTGCGCCGCCCTTCCCGATCCAGAGAAACGAGCTGGAGACAACAGATGGGGATTTCATCAGGGCTTCAAGCGAATACTCTTTGCAAATATTCAAGGTTGAGTTGCGTGGGGGGAAGTGAGGGGGAGGCATTTGCCCTGGTTGTTTTGATGCTTCGTGGTATTCCAGAGATGGAGGTGCTTCTGGTTAACGTAAGCATGCATACGTGTTCTGGAGCCGCCCTTCCCAAGTGACACACCTGCATGCACATTTCTCCATCAACATTCCAAGATGGATGTGAATGTAAATCTTGTTTTGTAGATGTGGCAAGGATGGCTGACCTGCATTTGTCTCTTGCAATTCACCTGGCACCACAACACCTGTCTGAATTTGGATGGATGGTAGATTTTTACTCATGGTAGATAAGAAGAAAATCTACAATGGACAGTTTGCTAACCTCAGTAGTAAATGTTAGCTTTCCTCCAGTTTTGGACATTCACTGGAGCCCTGTTTTTATTTTCTCAAAGCTCCCTGGTTTCTAGTCTAGGTGATAAAATTCCTTCCCTGTGCAGAAGGTCTGGAGTGCTGTAGATTTGACACTCAAAATAATGGACACCCAAAAGTATGTGATCTTGTGTATTGGGTGAAGCATGCAGTGTGGCTTTGTTTAAAATCTTATGGAAAGGTGGTTCTTTTAGTATTTGAAATACTTAATGCAAAGTAAATGCTCCAGCATTGTGCCTGCTGCAGCCCTTCCCTAATTCTTGCCATTTATTTTCTATTACTGTAATAAAACTTTTTACATCTACATATGTTTTCAGAAGTCAACTGATTTTCCTAAGTCTTTTTTCTTTTCTTTTTTAATCATTTTAGTTAAAGCAAAGGAGAAAAACATAAAAACAAGTATCATGCATACATACTGTTGCAGACTAAATATGGTAGCATAAGTGGCTGACAACATTTGAGCAGAATTATTAAAATTCTACTTTATGCAAACCCTCTTCTCCTCTTTCACCACCACTTCAGCCAGCCAAACAAGCTTTTTTTCATAGGTTGTCCAGAGAGGGGCATTATTTTGCAAATGGGTTGTTTGAGATCTAATGTTTGTGTGTGCACAGTTGCTATGTAAGAGTCCACACCCTCTGGGTTTTTTCAGTCACCATATTAATTATTGTTGCACTTCTTGATGTCCACACCAGTGGGAAAGGTTTGGCAGTAAATAGCCTGGGTTAGTTTGAGAACCACTGTACAGTGGTGCCTCGCAAGACGAAAAGAATCCGTTCTGGGAGTCTCTTCGTCTAGCGGTTTTTTCGTCTTGCGAAGCAAGCCCATTGACGGATTAGCGGATTAGTGCTATTAGCGGCTTTTAGCGGCTTTTAGCAGCTTATCAGCTTATCGGATAAGCAGATAAGCGGCTTAGCGACTTAGAAAAAGAGGGGGGAAAGGAAAAAAAAAACGCAGGAACTCGCAAGACATTTTCGTCTTGCGAAGCAAGGCCATAGCAGATTCGTTTTGCGAAGCACCTCCAAAACGGAAAACTCTTTCGTCTAGCGAGTTTTCCGTCTTGCGAGGCATTCGTCTTGCGGGGCACCACTGTATTATATATCCTAGAGCTGTCTTCCAGGTTTTCACAATTTCCTGTATGGCCACCACTAATAAAAAAATGATAAGATCCATGTACAGAGCCTGTCTCCATGTCACTAAACATTGACAAATGTTTCTCCCCCTTTTATTGTTTTTGGACTGCAATTCTATATATTGGAAGTAGGTCCCATTTAATACATTGAGGTTTATTTCTGAGTAAACATGCAAACAATTGCACTGTCAAAGAAACACATTAAAATGCTTTGTCATATGTTGATCACATACAGTGGTACCTCGGGTTACATACACTTCAGATTACGCACTCCGCTAACCCAGAAATAGTGCTTCAGGTTAAGAAATTTGCTTCAGGATAAGAACAGAAATTGGGCTCTGGCGGCGTGGCGGCAGCAGGAGGCCCCATTAACTAAAGTGGTGCTTCAGGTTAAGAACCGTTTCAGGTTAAGAACGGACCTCCGGAACGAATTAAGTACTTAACCTGAGGTACCACTGTATAAACTTTTAAAATGTAACATGGCAGTAGTAGCTGGGAAGTTAGAATGTTTATCTTCATGTGATTTATTAACACTATGTGGACATGTCTTCCCATTTAGGACAGTTACACTTTTACAGCTTATCTGCCACATCCTCACTGGTGACTGGATGTAAACATATAAAAGGGAAATGTATGTCTCCAAACATGCAGTGGATATGAGTCAGCCAGTTGTGGCTTCTTAGTGCATGTTTACCATAGCATCAAAGACAGACAAAGTAAACACTCACTTTGGTGAAACCATAGTACACTACTTAGAATCCAGGGTTTTAACGGTCTTGCTGTGAGTTGAGGGGCTGGAGTTTGGCTGTGAACATAGATGTTTATAGTTATGTGCTGAGTGTGCACACCAGTGTTCATTCTGATAGCTTAGACTCAAAGTCCAGTGTTGCATTTTGTGCATAATTCCGACCCCCATTTGAAAAGGGATGTTTCTAATCTTAAATGGTTCTGTTCTGGCACCTAGCATGTGCCTTCTGATAAGTGTATTGGACCATGATATTGTTGAGTAACTGAGTGGTGTATATGTTTGAACCATGATTATAATTCACCATAAGATTAAAACCATCATTTCTTTTTACATTTAGATAAAGAGAAGAAGGAAAAACTTGAGGAAGATGAAGCGGCAGCTGCTAGTACAATGGCAGTCTCTGCCTCCCTCATGCCTCCCATCTGGGACAAGACAATTCCTTATGATGGGGAGTCTTTCCACCTGGAGTACATGGATCTGGATGAGTTCCTGTTGGAGAATGGAATCCCTTCCAGTCCTACTCACCTGGATCTGAACCAGAACCCACTGCTGCCTGTGGCTGAGCTGGAAGGAAAAGAACCTGCCAGTGTTTCTGCTGCTACCACCCCACTCTCATCATCTTCCACAGTGGTTTTCCAGCCATCAGAAACTACCACAAGTGCAGGTATGTGTAATGATGCCAATCTGAATATTTCCTAATCACAAAATCAATATAATATATTTGCCTGTTGTGCTTTAATGCTTTTTCATTTAAAGTGGAGATGGATGGTTAAAATAGCTGTAGCAAGTCAGCTTAAACTTGTCCATGTAACTTGCATTGCTTCTGCACCATAGCTCATTATTGCTGCTAGTGCATTGCTTTTACACTACATCAACTACAGAGGCCTTGCCCAAGTGACTTTTGGGTGCCCACCCATGAATGAAAGTAACATTAGAATTAGACCTCCGCTGCATTAATTGTGCTTCTGGAACTTTTGCACAGAGACATACCCTAACATTGGGATCGTAGTGTAAGTCTGTTCTAAGCTTTAAGTGAGCTGTACTTTCAGACAGAGCATGCTCTTTTACAAAGCCTGTGTGTGTTTGTGTTTCTTAACACAACAGGTAGCTTAATAAATGGTTGTTGGGAGATGTATGTGGAATATGGAACTATTATCTGAAAATGTGCAGAGTCCCAGTCATGATTGCTACATCCAAACGTCTTCTGACCAATAGACATACCTTTTCACAAGTCCAAGTTCTCCTCTTCGTAGTTTACCATCCAGACAGCGAAGAATAGCACAATGTTATCCTTCACATGACGAAACAGAGCACATTAATACCCTGCATGTCTGGCTATCTGCTTTGGCAGACGTGATGTTGAGGGGAATTGTTTTTCTTGAAAGCATGAATTTGTTAGCTGTTTTCATATGCAATTAATCTTATTTGACAGATGAACTATATATATATAAATATTTCTTAACAGGATTGTCTTTACACTCTTCTTGTAGGTGTTACTGCATACAAGCTGGTACACAGTTTGTGGTAGTTAACACAAGAAGACTGCAGATGCTGGATTCTGGGAATGACCCCATCTATCCCGGATTCAGAACAAATTCTTAATGGATTGTTAATTGGGATTAATAGCCTCCTCCGCACTCACTCACAGGCACACTCATACCTGTCTGTTCTATGGGACTCCAACCAGGCTGGGACAGTCCTGTGGCTTGACATTAGAAGAAGGAATGTACTTTTTAGTTTTGCTGTCACCTTTCAATTTGCTGCTGTCCAGGTTTCCTTGCATATCTTAGGTGTATTTCCGAAATACCATGGATTGATGTGGTTATATTTTTGGTGAGTTAAATTACCGTATTTTTTGCCCTATAGGACGCACTTTTTCCCCTCCAAAAATGAAGGGGAAATGTGTGTGCGTCCTATGGGGCGAATGCAGGCTTTCGCTGAAGCCTGGAGAGCGAGAGGCATCGGTGTGCACCGACCCCTCTCACTCTCCAGGCTTCCAGAAGCTATCCACAAGCCTCCCGCACCTGGCAGTAGGTCCCGCCGGGCGCGTGAGGCTTGGGGCGGCAGCCTGCATCCCGAAGCACGGGGTGCCCTCCGGAGGACGCCCCGTGCTTCGGGAAGGTGTCCGCAAGCCTTGTGCGCCGGGCAGGAGGTCCCGCCGGGCTTGCAAGGCTTGCAAGCAGCAGCCTGTTCTGGGGTCGGGGGAAGCTTGGGCTTCCCCCGCGCCAGCCCCGCGCCTGGGGGGGGAAAAATAATTTTTTTTTCTTTATCCCCCCCAAAAAAAACCCCCTAGGTGCGTCTTATGGGGTGGTGCGTCCTATGGGGCGAAAAATACGGTAGGTGACCTGTGAGTTAAATTAGGTGACTAGGTGACCTGTTAACTGACCTTAAATTGATTGTATCCCAGCTCCTGCTGCAAGTATCAGGGTGTTTTGGTGGGATGAAATGGGTGCACTAACTCCTGTCACAACAGCACAGCCTTAAGGCTGCTTTATAGTGATTTTATCCCTATGGTCTTTTAATTACCCTCCTGTAACTAAGGGTGGCACTGTGGGTAAAACCTCAGCGCCTAGGACTTGCCGATCGTCAGGTCGGCGGTTTGAATCCCCGCGGAGGGGTGTGCTCTCGCTTCTCGGTCCCAGCGCCTGCCAACCTAGCAGTTCGAAAGCACCCCCGGGTGCAAGTAGATAAATAGGGACCGCTTACTAGCGGGAAGGTAAACGGCATTTCCGTGTGCTGTGCTGGTTCGCCAGATGCAGCTTGTCATGCTGGCCACGTGACCCGGAAGTGTCCTCGGACAGCGCTGGCCCCCGGCCTCTTAAGTGAGATGGGCGCACAACCCTAGAGTCGGACACGACTGGCCCGTACGGGCAGGAGTACCTTTACCTTTACCTTTAACTAAGGTCAAGGGTATGTAACTAAAATCACACGTTCTTCCCTTGCCTTCTTCCTTCCTCTCCCATGGGTGTCGCCTTTGTGTCTAGATTTAGACCAGAAGTCTCTTGGGGTGAGGACATGTCGTATCCTCCTTTGTAAAGTGCCATGTACATGGGGGCGTTAAATAAAGGGGGGCTGCTTTTGACCCTTTGGTTTCCTTGTTGCTATGTTCCTCACACTGACTTCCTATTTCATTTTTTTTTTCTTTGCCAGAATCCTCACCAGATAACGAGAGATTGACTCCCAGCCCTGTTGATCCAGAGTGTGTTGAGGTTGATGTGAATTTCAACCCTGACCCTGCTGATTTAGTGCTGTCCAGTGTTCCAGGAGGTGAGCTCTTCAACCCTAGAAAGCATAAGTTTGCTGAAGAGGACCTGAAACCACAGCCTATGATTAAAAAAGCCAAGAAAGTCTTTGTCCCGGAAGACCAAAAGGTAACACCTGGTTTTTATCACAGTGTTAGAATGTGAGTTAGAGAGCAGTGTTCATGTGTAATTTTTTAGAATGAGTTATTGCATAGATGGGAGGTAATAATGAAAAGGTTATTGGAAGCTGGTTTGTTCACTACTTTGTTGTTCTGGTTCATAGTACTGGTATTTCCTACAGCCCCCCCCTCTTTTTTAGTAAATCAGCTGACCTCTTTTGACCCATTGTATTGTTTGTTTGGTACAGAGATATGAGCAATGTGAAAATGCCTTCATCCTTCTCTAGCAACTACCGTGTGTGTGTGTGTGTGTGTGTGTGTGTTAACATAAACATATACATGCTATATGTGTATATATATTTTTATATACATATTTTTAAAGGTCACCAGCATTTGGTCAAGCATATTTCTATATTTCAACAGAAGTATAGTGTCCTGATCAAAGGAAGTAATAGAATTATTCTATTTTGCCTTGGTCAGACCACATCTTGAGTACTGTGTCCAGTTCTGGGTGCTACAATTTAAGAAAGATACAGTATTGACAAGCTTGAACTTAAGCAAAGGAGGGCAACTAAGATGATTGGGGGTATGGAAACAAAGTCTTATGAGGAAGGGTTGAGGGAACTGGATATGTTTAGCCTGGATAAGAGGAAACGTGAGAGGAGATATGACAGCTATCTTCAAATATCTTAAGGGCTGTCATATGGAAGATGGAGCAAGCTTGTTTTCTCCTGCACTGGAGGGTAGAACCCAAACCAATGGATTCAAGTTACAAGAAAGGAGATTCCAACTAAACAGTAGGAAGAACTTTCTGACAGTAAGAGCTGTTTGACAGTGGAACAGACTCCCTCAGAAGGTGGTGGACTCTTCTTCCTTGGAGGTTTTTAAGCAAAGGTTGGATGGTCATATGTCATGGATACTTTAGTTGAGATTTCTGCATTGCAGGGGGTTGGACTAAATGACCCTTGGGGTCCCTTCCAACTCTACAGTTATATGACTCTATGATTGAATAAAGCAAAATTACAGTATGTCCCACAAAATCCTGTTATATAAGTAAACCTGTTGAAGTGGATGGTAACCACTGGAGCTGTTTTAAGATGTGTTCTGTCTGTTGATCAGGACTGATCAATCTAGCAGATGGTTTCCTGTGCCAGATTTCTGAGTAGTCCCTACATATGAGACACAGAAATTATTCTGGAAGTTACTAGGGCATAGATAACTCTTGCTAAGCTGGGTTGCATAGCTGGTCATAAGAAGAGGCCAAATGGTAGGTACTTTTTGGCTTTTTGATACCTGAAATATTTCACTATTGAACTGATTATTTTCTCTCTAGGATGAAAAATATTGGACTAGGCGGAAGAAGAATAATGTGGCTGCCAAACGGTCTCGTGATGCTCGTCGCCTGAAAGAGAACCAGATCACAGTCCGAGCTGCCTTTCTGGAGAAGGAGAATACAGCTCTGAGGACCGAGGTGGCAGAGCTGCGAAAGGAAATGGGAAAATGCAAGAACATTGTCTCTAAATATGAGAGCAGATATGGACCCTTGTAAGCAAACCCTTTTCCCTTACTTTGTTCCTTGGCTTGCTCTGTTTCAATAGAGACTAATGTTTGTAGCTCGGTTGTTCTGTAACCCTGAACAGGATCCACTTCTTCTGACACAACTTGGTCAGGCACTTTCTGATCCTTGTGTTGCAATATGCCAATTTTTAATATTTAAAAAAACAAATTTAACACATATTAAGAATTTGGTGTTTCTAATCAAATAACACTAATTTGATGATTTGAGGAATAAATCTGTCTATGTTGCTAGACTGGCAGGTGTTTTACTGCTGTCATGTCTGGAATGGAAGGCAAATGGTTCGAAAGTATTTTCCTTTAAAACAAATCATATAATGTGGAAGGAATCATGCTGAAATAATTTTGTAATTGCTCCCTTTTCCAAGTTATACATATAAAATAATATGATGTGCAGGACTGATAGTTTTCTCTTACTTTGAGAACAAGTATGAATCTTCTTTTCAGTTCTGGGCCTTTTGATTCTTTTGGGCAGAAATGAGGCTTTGGCTTCAATCCTAACCGTGACTACTCAGAAGTAAGTCCTGTTGAATGCAATTGGACTTACAAATAAGTGGGGTTTAGATTGCAACCTTATCAGCTGTGTATCTGTTCAAACAACACTGCTGTGGGTGTATTACTTCTGAAAAAAATTATAAATTCCTTTGCATATTGTAAAATGGAAGCATTTCCTCTTAATTGATTTGGATTTTTTTACTTTCATTTAAGCAATTTGTCTCCAAATCACTTGCATTAGTTTTTTTAACTAATATGAGTGGCTGTTGAGAAAATAACCATATTCACTTAAATTACAGGTTCAATTCATTATAGTAAATTCCTGCACTTAATTCTTCAAAGCAGTATATTCTTATTTTTATTAAAAGTAATGAGCCACAATATTTGTGACCTAGAGTTGTAGGGTAATATTAGTCCTGGGAGAGCTTGCTTTAGACCCATTAAAGTGATGCTTTGCTACAGTGTTGGTTCTGACCTCCTGACCAATATAAGAGGTGGGTGGGGCACACTCCCTTGCTGCAAGCTATTTAATTTATTCATCCTTTTGGGTTGCCTTGCATATGGTTTCCCTGACAGCTGCATGTCTTGTGTCTTAAGCATATTTTAGTGCTTTTATTGAAAAGAACACACAAGGCTTTCCCCATAGCTGCTAATAGCTGCTAATAACCTCCTCCAGCTAAAGCAGCATACATTGGTGTAATACTGGAGACCTTCTTCAAGGCCATTGGTTGCAAGGATACATAAGAATGTCAGTAATACAGAAGTAAATGGGTACCTTGAATTTTAGCAGAGCCAGTTCAGGTGCACACATCCCCTTGTAGCAATTTTTTTCAGCATGTATTACGCTTTGTTAATGATCAAGGAGAGAAAAATGCCTGAATGCTGAACTAGCTTTCAGGCAGAATGGAGGTTTTTCTTAAAGGCAATGTTTGGGACATTGCTGCTGTTTTAGGATAATATAATCTAGGTGTGCTGCAGCCAGTAACAGTCCTCTGTTGTGCCCACCCACCCACTTTTTAAAGGGAGGTCACGTTAGTGGTCTTAAAAAACACCAGGTATTGGGTATGGATCAACAGTTGGACAAGCTCTACCATGGCTCATTGATAGAAATGGGAAGCAGTTTAATTTTGTGCAGTTAAAATAAATTTCCTAGAATTGTTGTTCCCTCTCGTGATACCTTGACTCAGCGGAGTGGTTTTACTGTCAGTGCTCGTGTAATGCTCCCCAAGTAGTCTGTTACCTTTATAATGGGGAATTGGTAACATCCCTGAGAGTGAATGTAACAATATGCTGTTTTAAAAATAGTCATATTCTTGCTTTGCTTTGTTTAAAGTGACTTATCCGATTCCGAGTGATGCAACTTTAAAGACTCTTAAAATCACAAAGAAACTAAAAACTACACATGAAACCACCTGCCATCAGAATGAATAGTGAAAGATGTGAGGTGTTCCACAACTGATGATGACCCTGCTTGCCTGCAAGTACCTCCCTCTGAACTACCCAAGGGCTGAGCATGATGAAAAGACCAAGGTCTCTAAGGGTACATTTCTGTTGTACTGCTATTTTTCCTTGTACCCACAACATGCAGTACAGTGATTAACTCTTTTCAATGACACTTGGTGCTCGTGTCCTTGAGTTCAGTTTGAATAATTAGTGGTGATCCTTTATTGGGAGGAAGGGGCAAGTATTAAGGGAATATAACCATAATTATTCAAGATTTCCTTCTGTGTTTCTTTTTCATATCTGTTCTGTGCTTTAGAATGGATATCAATATTGCAGCTAAATTCTGTTAATCTATTGTATCTTGTACTATTGGAACAGAAACAGCATATGTGGAAAACAGATTAAAAAGAAATAGTTTTGGTACACTATACAACCAACATATCAATTAAAATAGAAGTAATGGAAAATAACACGTACCCCAAGATGCACTATATCTTAACAAATGCTAGCAAGTTAGATGCACCTTATTTTCTCGGCTGATTAAAGCTGACACTCACTTTCTGAAATTAGCACTTTTTCTTAAGCTTGCTGACTCTGACAATAGAATGATTGTGATGGCATGCTGATGCATTTTCACAATCTACTCCTTGTAATAATCCTAAGAGATTTCTATTTCCTTACTTTCATAAACATAGATGTGTAATGAAGAGGGAGCAGTATAATAAAAGGACAGGTTGCGAAAGTAGGGTGACTCAGTTATTCACTCAGTTACTCATTTTATCTGCTCTTGCCTATCTTCCAGAAGATGCAAGTTCAACATCTAGTTTACTTTTTCTTGCTGAACAAATTGCCCAAAGTCTCTTATCAAAATTGGGGTGGCCTTCTGATTGCCCCAACTGAATAATTACGGAATAATTGCTGATTTTCACTTCTACCTGGTCCTGTACATGTTAGAAATAAAATAAGCAATGTTTATGCTGTTTTCCCCTACTATTTTTCCCTTAAAGATTTCTGAATTTCACTTGAGTGCCTGAACATAGTATGATGAGCATTGGACTCATTAATCTGAAGCATCAGACATAGCACAGTTGGAATATCCCATCAGATACATGCCTATGTGGTAGCAGAACCTGTTGCTTAGACCCTAGGGACAGCAAAATGGCTTGTGGAAATAGGGCATTTCAATTCTGTAGAAGTTACACCCTGAACATGATCTACATGTGTCAAGAATAGATATATTGCAAAACTGGATAAAACCCACACCAATTTGTATTAGGACTAATGACTGGGTTAACAGAAAACGTATAGTGCATGGAGTCATGTGCATGGATGTTCCATTTATTCGATTCTTATTAATTTGTGACTCCATGCACATAAGTTTTCTGTTTATGAATTTTGACACAGTATAATGTTATAAAAATATTGTCAGCACATTATTAGCCAGCGTGTTGCTTGTTGTTGTTTAGAGTGTTTTGTTTGCAACACGGGATTCTTTTGGTGTACAGTTCAATGCTGGCAATCCCTGCTTAGCACAAGAGGCTTCAAGATTGCTGTTTCAGATTCAGAAGTTGGACTTGACAGGAAAGTCCCAACACAATTATGCAAGGAGATTACATTTTGCAAAACACTGATTTTCTGCTGTTTTCAAAGCGTAATCCCAACAAAATTAAGAAATTGCCTGTACTATTTTATTTGTTTGCAATTAATGCACCAGTGTGCATATTACTTAGTAAAATTGACTGTGGGCTGTTTATAGAATCTCTCAAAAGTTGGAGAAGATTGGTATAACAATTAAATACACACAGAAAGAAAATATCAGAATTGTAGTACTAATCTAAATGATGTGCTGCATCCCCTTATAACTTGCAGTTGGAGCCAGATTTCCAGTACTTGTGTGTGTTACATTAGAAATGTAATATATGGCTCTTCATGATAGCTGTTAATAATTTTAGTTCTCCAGCCATTATATAGCACAAAACAACTGAAATAGAATATGAATTCCCACATTTAATGTGCTTTGGTTAGTCACTTGGAAGATTTGCATGTGTTGTACAACACGATGCAAAGGTTATGTGTGTAACTTTACGTGTATCTTTGTGTAAGAAGATGAAGTAGTTATAATACTCTTCCCAGGAAAAACAAATGAGACACAGTAAACATGTGAATTTACAACTTTGTTTCTTTAAAATGCATTATTTCTTTGGTATGGGAGGTAAATAATATATCACTAGCATAACCAGGTCTTCCACCTTCCTCTTCATCTTGGTAACCAATTTATAGTGATAACAGTAGAGAATAATGTTCTTAATTTGCACTAACGTTTAACATTAATTTGTCCAAAGAAATAGTGCAGGATGCCTGCTATAAGTATGCAAACTCTTCTACATACTGCTATTTAATTATGTAATGGAATGACCAGAGTGTGATCTGTAGGATTACAGACCCTGCTGGGAACAGTTTGAGGGGAACAGTAATCTCTTTATGGTTACTCAGTTACTATCAACCTGCCACTGAAGATCCAAGGGTTAACAACTTTTAATTTTTTAATAAATATTGTGGGCAAGAAAGAAAATCTTCAAAAGCAAATAATCTATATAATAGAGAATTTTGTTATGGTAATCTTAATGTACATGATCATCCCCTTGAGAGAGATTGAAATAAAATATCCCCCTAACTGAATTTCATCCATAGATGAAATTAATTGAATAATAATAATTTCTAAATAATAATTTAGAAGTTGATCTTCCTTTTCTTAAAGATTTCATTTCATTGTACAGGCTTAGCATAGGCATTTAACCTCTGTTTATTGGTTTTTAATCATTCTTTAATAGTCATGTGAGATTTCTACTTTGCAACTAGAGCAATGATTTAGGTTTAAGGGATAATTTGTGGTTCTTTGTGATCAATCTCTGTGCAGGTTTCACGTGAAATTTTGGTGGAGTTTTCCCTTATTCATTACTTTTGTATCATTCATTCAAGAAGTAATGGAGGCATATACTTAGTGCTGTGGGTGCTGAAGCCTTTATAAGTTTTTATATTAAACCTATGATATTAATCTTGGTTTCTGTTTTGTATAAATTCCCAATGTCTTTGCAGGTGGGTTTTTTTAAAAAAAATATTCATTGGCACTTTCCCTTTCTGTGCGGTGTTGTGCTGTATTGTGCTGAATAACCAGGTATTCTAATGTAGAGCTTGCTTCTAGTACTCCCTAGTGGGCAGTCCTTCTGTCAGGTATCAAGATAACAGGTGCAGTAAAAGAGAACCAGCAGCTAAAGCTTACAGAGATACTGTAAAATTGTTAAGAGCAAATATATTTTGAATAGTTAAGACATACTAGAATCTCTGTGGTGTTGTTTTTTTACAGAATTCCTAAACACCTCTGGGCCATAAGCATCTAGTTCAATTTTTTTTCTACCCCCACCCCAAAAACACACAAAAACAGAATTTGGGGATGTTTTAACACAGATACTCATGTTGAGGCTGATTCACCCACTAAAGGCAGCTATACAAAACTGAATTGTTTCAGCTTCTAGAGTAACAGAAATCTTTCAAATCTGAACCTTTGCTAAGGAAAAAAAGGCGCATTATCTATCCTTTTGTATATGCACCTCTACTTTCCTGGAAAAATGTGTACACTGATTCACTAGTATTCATATACTCGTCATCTAAAGATCTCCTTCATGTATTTCACGTGTGCACCCTTTTAGATCTGCCTTTTTAAATGCTCACCTAAATTTTGTGAGTGTGATAACCATGTGTTTGCAAACATATATCATGCAGACGCACTTAAAATATAATTTTATATCCTGCGTATACATAATAATAATTAGAATAATTTTATTATACCCCACCCATCTAGCTGGGTTGCCCCCAATAGTCTCCCATCCAAATAATTGATCAGGTCCACACCTGCTTGGCTTCACCTGCAATGCTGGAGCCTCAGGCATCCACGGATACATCTCCAGGCAGCCTTGATTAACTGCACCTCATTATGGAGCACACAGTCTGTGACAGATCTGAGGTTTGCCTCTGTGCAATGTGCATAGCCATGAGACAATGCTGGCAAATCGAAAATTCTTAACTGATTACTGTCCCTTTTTTAGTTTGAAAACCAGTTAGAGAGAAGACAGATGTGACCTGTATAGAGCAGTGAGATTTGTTTGGAAGAAGCTTCACCTTGTTCAAGCATGCTCTTTAAAAACAAACAAAATAAAATATCAAAAAACTGTTTCGCAAGTTTGCAGCCCAAGCCAGGTGTGCATGTGGCCAGGGGCGGAGGAAGGGAGGTGCGATGGGGACAGGTTGCCCCAGGTGTCTTCGCTCAGGGGGGTGACATTCGGTGTGCTGCCGAAGCCTACCCCAAGCCGTCAGGGGAAGGGGGGAGCTGCGCCACTTTGCTGGCAGCATTCCTCCCTTCCCCCTTCGTTTTGACAACTGGGGGGGGGCGAATGTCCGCCCTCAGTGGCTCCCTCCACCCCCAGCTGCAGGGCGCGTGCACCGCTCTGTGCACCCGAGTGGCTATCCTGCGCCTGGGAGGGCACCCTCTGTGCCGCGTTCTGACCCCCTCGGGAGCACGCCCACCCTGGGCAGCGCAGGCATATGCTCTGCCGCTGCATGTGGCATTGATAGGATGGCAACTACAACAATACACACACACACAGTTTTCCGCTTTAAAAAACACTTTTGTCCTTTTTTCATTAACAGAATAAGGCAAGGCTGATTTCTGAGCCAGCATTCAATTCACTGGTATGCAGATCTCATTAAGCTGAGAAGCAGGGAAGAATTCACTGGATGTTTTACTCAACTAAGCTACGCCACTATGTTTTACTCAGAATAGACCCATTGAAACTAACGAACCTCACTTAAATTAGGTCCAGTAATTTCACTGGGTGTAGTCTGAATAAAACACCCTCTCCCCCCCTGTGGCTCCAAAACATACTCTATATATATTACATCTGTTTTTCCCAAATTCGTCACAGAACCTATATAAATACTTAATGGTAACTACATTCCCTCACAATGGCAATGCCTGGCATGTCACCCCCCCCCCCACACCTTGCTAAACATCTTTCTTATGAAAACAACACAAGTTTAAGCTCTCCTGGCTGGATGATGCCCAGTAAGGAAGATGCAACGTTGTAAGAGACAAGGAATTGCTGAGTTCAAAGTCATTCTCATTGTGAACTTTAGATACTAATTCTCTTCATTTGAGTTAATTTATAATGAGAATTGCTTTTGATGTGAAAGCTTGTCAACTTGATTATCTTTCTGGTGAACTTGTACTATCTAATTATAATGAAAAGAAGGTGAGGCTGAGGAGGGAATGTAATAATTCTATTTTTCAGACTCTTAATACATCTTCCCCCACTGCTCCATTAATGCACATGGTTCTTACTTGTGGTTCCTAGTAGTGCTTTCTTGTGAACTTTATCTGAATTAATCAGCAAGGCAGCCTCCTAATAGAAAACTGAGGCTGAGGTGTTCTTTGTATTGTTTTGCTGAACTAGGATAACAATTAACTTGTGCTTTGAAGCATCAGCTGGCAAGATGTTTAGTTGGGTCCAGAATAGCAGAAGTGTAGTGTTTTTCCATTTGTGTCTGAAACACAGTAATAACATGATTATTGGAATACTGTATTTTGTACGACAAAATATGTAAATACACTTTAATATTAATCTCAGTCCTCATGGAGTAATAAGTGCTTTCATTGTAACCTCTGCAAACTCATTAAGATATTTTAATGTAGCATGGTTTGAGGATTTTGTTTCTTAGAAAACTGCAGAAATCAAGCGAAATTAAATTATTGTAGAGCTTTGGTTTGTGATGCTTTATATTTACAAAATGTTTAATAAACCACAAAAAGCAGAGACACTGAGAATTGGCATGGGAGCTATTTCTGTGGTCACTGATGTTATTCATAATCATACTCAACTGGTTTTGTTTGGAGGCAAGCCTATCTTGCCAGTTAGCAGTATCCTCATGCATTAATTCCTGTTGACAAAAAGCACATGATGATTTCAGAAATGCAAACTACTTTGAATGTTGTGTTCATACATGCTCTTTGCACCAGCCTGGTGTGAATTGTCATTCAGCACACTATACATTAGGTTTATGGTAGCTTAGCCATAAAAAAGGGTAGATGAATTTGGAAATATATATATTTTTTGTCAGTATTCTACATTGGCATCTGTCGCATGCAACATACTTCCCTTAGCATTTCTCCAGCTTAGTGACATTATTTCTGCTGTTAAAACTCCATTATCATTGGCATGGAAAGCTTGATCTGCTTATAACATAGCTGGATACAGTGTCCCTTTAAAAATATGTTCTCAGATAATCCTGCAGCGTAGCTATGTTATTTTTCCATAGTTAGAGAGATTAACTACTCAGGAGTTTCATTGTCTTTAGTCCATTCTGTTCATTTGGAGCAGCAGGTGAGTGTTTGGCTCCATTTGTCATTAAACAGGGGAAATGTGACTGCAATATAAAATGTGGCCTTTTTTGGTCAAAACTACTCTTTGTTTTTGCTGTATAACATTTGCATTTCTCTTTGATGTGTTCCAGTATGTACTGAGTGAAACTGTGTAGATTAGTATATAAAATGCTTTTCAGTCATGGATTTTAAGGCACTACATAGTAGGATCGTTACCATTTATAAAAACATCAGGGTAAAAATGTCTATCCCTACCCTGTACACACAAATGAATAATGGATGACTGTCGAAAGGACTTAAAAACGATAATCCTGGTAAGAAAAAAAAACACATTTTCATATTCAAAGCCTACCTGGTATTCATTTTTATGACACTTTTTAAATGATAGAATTAAGGATATGAGCTCTCTGATGGTGGATTGTCTGGGTATGTAAGTCTCTCTGCTAAGTGTCTTTTTAAAAAGAATGCTTTTGTTTTAAAAATGTAAAGTTTTGACTGTATTGAATTGTTGGATTTTGCCCCCTTAAAAAAATAAAGTGTATATTCTACTAAGTACAAGATTTAGTCACTGCAGTATATTGTTTGCAAACTGTCACCAGAACATAACGATGTGGTGCAGATCCTTCAGCTGTCTCTGATGTCTGTCTGTAGGAGTTGGTGTCAAAAATCACTTTCAGAAGTCAGGCTGTACCCTTGCTTCCTATATTTACAAGCTAGTTCTGGCCATGAATGAGCACAAAAGTTTATTTTATTTATATTTATTTCGCCTCATGTTTTTACCTTGTGAGTGTATCAGAAATACAGGCATACCTCAGAGATATTCCAGACCACCGTATTAAAACAAATATCACAATAAAGGGAGTCAAACTTCTTTCTTTCCTTTCCCAGTGCATATAAAAGTGTTGTTTATACTTTAATGCAGTCTATTAAGCCAGACCCCCTGGCTGCAGGAGTGAGAGGGGAAAACCCAGCTGCAGCCCTAGCCCCCACCACTCCAGCACCCAGAAGAGAAGCAGCAGCGTCAGGGAGCGAGCTTTCCCTGGAAGCAGCCCGGCTTGCTGCAACTACAGCCAATATCTGTGGAGCGCAATAAAGCTGAACAGGGTTGCTTCTCCTGAGAAAGAAAAGCAAGTGCCACGCACTGCGCTTCTTAAAATGTGTGTGGGCAAAGTCACATCCTGAGTAATCCCGCCTGAAGCACTTAACACTCCTAATGTTCATGGAAACCACCTATTTCACAAATGGTCTCCCGCAGCTTTTTGTTGAAAATCTTGAAACAAAAGGCAAAAAATTAATCTGTTCCTATATACTGGAACTGCCTTAAAAGGGGAGTGGGGATGGGACCTTTTGTGGGAATTAAAACTTCACATGCCGTGAAGAATCTATGGACTGTCTCCGAAGCACCACTAATCAATAGTAAGTTAATCTTCTTAAGCACCAGAAAGGGTTGCTTAAAAGAGTACTAAAAGCTTTCCCTAGAGCATAAGTACTGAAGTTAGATGCCAATCATGCAAGTCAAATTACATCCTATGCAAATGGAAAGAGAACATTAAATTGCCTACTGGAGCTAGTCATGCCACAAGTCACTTACTGCTTCCTAAGCAATGAAGTCAGTTTCCAGTAGGGTAAGAACAGGGGTCAGCAAACTTTCAGCAGGGGGCCGGTCCACTGTCCCTCAAGACCTTGGGGGGGGGCAGACTATATTTTGAGGGGGGGGGAATGAACAAAATCCTATGCCCCACAAATAACCCAGAGATGCATTTTAAATAAAAGGACACATTCTACTCATGTAAAAACATGCTGATTCCCGAACCGTCCATGGGCCAAATTTAGAAGGCGATTGGGTCAGCTCCAGCTCCAGCTCCCAGGCCTTAGTTTGCCTACCCATGGGTAAGAAGATGTGGCAAACATGAACAAAGAGACAAAAAAATTCCCCACTTGGTAGAGTTTGTACAACATACCTAGACTGCCCCCCCAGCCGGATACCTGCCTCTTGCCCTCTGAATGCTGATGGGCAGTAGGAGTTTTGTGGTAGTGTTTGGCATTAAGATAGCAACTATTGATCATAAATGTTCTCGAGTTTTTGTTTTTGACAAATGGGGTTTGGATATGGAGGTAGAAAGACAGAAGATTCAAACTTGGCTATCTTCGTGCAACTTGAGCTAAATACAGTATGGCTTTTAAATGACAAAGTGTTTGGGACTCGAAAGTCTGTGAGGATGATAAGCAGTGCTATGCCTCAAAAAACTAGAATTAATAATAATTATTCATTAAAAAAACTGGTGATATCCAAGGTTGGTCAAACTCTTGAGTGGATAAATTGAAATCACTGGAATTACGTCCATTGATTTTGATGACTTGCACACATCATCCACAAGAACTGGGTTAGACTGTCTCCTTTCCGACAAGAGTGCTAAATGTTTCCAAATGGACCTTTGCAGAACTCTTGGGTCAGATTAAAAAATGCTTTTTTCAAAGAATTGAAGGTGGTTTGAAAGATAGATTGCTGCCGTGTATGTACGCGTACGCGCACACACACACTATCCTCCTTTTGACTCTGCTTAAACAGGTTTTACAGGATTTTGTATTGGTTGCAAAAAACCTGCTTGATAAGAGGCAACAACGGAATCAATGAAATATCTGTCTTTCTTGGAAACAATTTCTCCAACCACTTCCAGCTTTTAAACTATTGTCTTTCTCCAACCTTGGAAATCAGTCTCCATTTTCCACTTTCTTTCATCCGACATTTGGTTGTAATGAGACACCATGGTGATACATTTCAGCTCTTCACAGTTGTCCCCTTGCAACTGAAGGAGCTGTCTTCTGCATCAACCCCAGTCATACCACTGGCCCTTCCTCCAAACCAAATAGTTTTATTTAAATTGTGTTTATATATTTGATCTATTTGTATGCTGGCTTTAAGAGTCAAACCCTGTTAAGGTGGATTCTGTTAAACAATACAAATACAATATCATCCAAAAAATTACAGACATTTAATAAACCAGTAGCAGTAAACATCCAGCCACCCCCCACCCCCAGCACACATATATAGCCAAAATCAACTGCAACAAGAAAAATTCAAGGAAAGGCCAGTGTGAACAGGTAAGTTTTCAACCCTTTCCTAAAGTCCTGAAATGTTGTGGTCTGAAGGAGCCCAGCTGGTAAACAGCTATGGTAACAATATAGAGAATGCCCTTTTATACTCATCAGTTTAATTGCTCTGGGTGTCAGGCAGGTGAGAATGACTTAAAGGTGTGGGGAGGCTGGAATGGAAGC